GGGCCTTGAAGTGAGTAAGACCTCGGGTGGAGTCCTGCCTCAGACACTGCTAGCTGTGTGAGTCACTTGCGTCTCAGTTTCCTCATCTGTCAAATGGAGATAATAACACCACCTACCTCCAGGGTTGTTAGAAGACTCAAATAGTTAACACGTGCCAAATGCTACGCAAACCTTAGAATGCTTATAAAGTATCAGTTAGCTGTTTCATCAGTACAAAGAAGCAAATGGCATCAGGATCAAAAGAAACGATGGTGGGCTTATGCTGAAATGAGGACGAGGATGAGGGCGCACACCTGGCCTCTCACCACTGGCCGGTCAGGTGTTGCCCAGCCAACCTGCACACTCTCGGGCTTTTGTCTGAACTGTGGGAATGACCCAAGCACCGAACTCCTCCAATAGGACATTCCCAGGGGCATCTAGGTGACGCAGCGGATAGAGCACCAGCCCTGAAGCCAGGACGACCTGAGTTCAAATCTGGCCTCAGACATATAACACTTAACTATCTGTGTGACTCTGGGCAAGTCACTTAACCCCAATTGCCTCACCAAAAAAAAAAAAAAAAAAAAAACAAAACAAAGAGGACGTTCCCATCTCAGTCACCGAGGTCAAACGGCCGAGGAGAGGCAGCGGGGGGCCCTGGACAGTATCCCCAGATCCTCTGCAGGCAAGAAGTGCAGACGGCCCTCCCACGTCTGTGCGACTCCAAAGAGGGGACCGAGGAGAGGAAGACAAACTCCTAAGACTGCCCAATGGTCTCCTTTCAAGGACGTCTGTCCTTCCTGATTTCCCAGAACGTCACATTTTAGGTTGGATTTGTTCTGTATACACTCACATACCCATACAGCTATGCTTGCCTCCCCTTGTAAAATACACAGTCCTTGAGGGTGAGGGCTGACTGTTTCTTGTGCCCGGCACACAGTAGGCACTTAATAAAGGCTACTGATTAAGAAGCAAAATAACCGCCATGTATATAGCAAAGAGGGCAGCCAGGTGGCGCAACAGAGTGCCAGGTCTGAAGTCAAGAGGACCTGAGTTCAAATCCAGCCTCAGACACTTCCCAGCTGTGTGACCCTGGGCAAGTCACTCAGTCCTGTTTGCCTCAATTCTTCATCTGTAAAATGAGCTGGAGAAGGAAATGGCAACAGCTCCAGAATTTTTGACAAGAAAACCCTAAATGGGGTCACAGAGAGTTGGACTCAAAAATAACTCAACAATAATACATAGCAAAGAATGACTAATGCCTAACCCCCCACCCCCTACCCCCTACCTTCTGATTAAGGAACATAGAAGTTCACAAGGCGTTTATTAACAGACCTTGCATGAAAGCAGATCAAACCACTCCAGTCTGGAGACTAAGAAGGGCAACTATCAAACAAAAAAGACCAGTCTAAGGGTGGAACAGAGTGAGTGAGTGAGTGAGTGAGTGAGTGAGTGAGTGAGTGTGTGTGTGTGTGTGTGTGAACAGCATCAAAATAGAAACTAAAACATTAACCATGCGAGTGCATTAGACTTTGGATACAATGAATTCAACTCATGACACACTGAACACCAATCATCATGCCCACCACTGTGGGCATTTAAGTCATCACTCTGGGCACAGCAATGGGCCGGGCCACCGGGAGAGAGGATGGCACCAGGGAAGACCAGGTTCCTCCACTGATATGGGGGGGGGGAAGCAGCTTGCCTGCCTCCAAATCATCCTGGGTGTGTAGGCCAAGCCAAGTGCTATCACTTAAACCTCCTCATTTTACAGACAAGGAAACTGAGGCCCAGAAAGGCGGAATGATGTTTCCTAGGTCATACTGGTAGTAAGAGGCAGGATTCAAACCCAGGTCCTCAGACCTCCCATCGAGAGTTCTCTGCAGAGAACTATGTTGTCTAAATTGGAATGAGAGTGATGAGATCTGGACTTGGAAAGGGGTTCCCCAGCCCTGCACTTTTACTATTCCAGGCAGGCCACAAAGTGAGGTCAGTGGACACCTCTGCAGGGTCATGACCTTAGGAAATATTCAGCCCTGGTGATATTAAGAAAATGACTTAAGTATTACAGAATACGACATTTTTTGGTCTTCACAACAACACAATGAGATAAGTAACACCGGGATTTTTGCTGTGTTCAGTCATTTTTCACCCTGTCCAACTCTTCATGACCCCATTTAGGGTTTTCTTGGTTCCTTCTCCAGTTCATTTGACAGATGAGGAAACTGAGGCAGACACGGTGAAGTGACTTGCCCAGGGTCACACAGCTAGGAAGTGTCTGAGGCCAGATCTGAACTCAGGTCTTCCTGACTCCAGGCCTGACGCTCTATCCATGGTACCACCCAGCTGCCCCTGACACATGGATTATTAGTTCCATTTTAGAGATGAGTTAACTGAGTCTTAGGGAGTTCAGCCAGCGTGTCCAGGGTGGGATTCGAGGTCACATCTCTCCCTCTCTGCAGGGCTTGGCACGGTGCCTGGCACCCAGCAGGCTCGAGTTTTCCTGCACCGTGCCACCGGCAGACAGCGAGTAGCCTGCCTTCTGCAGGGTTAGCGTCTGGGAGGGGCCCCTCCGGCTCCCATCACTGGCCATCAGGGTTAAATATGGCTGCTTTTTTTTAAGAAACACTTATCTGAGGATTCCCAGCCTGGCCCCGGGAAACTTCCTTCGGGGCAGAGAAAGATAAAGGAAAACCTGCGAGAGCCGACTCCCACACGTGGCTTTCCATGGACCTTCTTTGAGGCCCCATCCTGGGAGCCCTGAAGGCTATCTTAGGAGACCACAAGAATGCTCAGTGGTCTGAGGCAGGAAGGAAGTGTTGAGGCCTCCTCCTCCAGCCCTGGGCAAAGGGTTTCTCTCACTGGTCAGCGGAGGGTTCTGGTGACCCCTCTGTAGAGATGGGAGGGCCCGGCACAGGGAAAGCCTGCTCAGCCGGGGAAGGAAGGAAGGAATTTGGCACCAGGGAGGTCGGCCTCGATGCCGGGCCAAGGCACAAAGTACAGGAGCGTCTGGACTCCAGGACAGCCCCCCCCTGCCCCAGGTGGAAAGAGAGCAAAGCAAGGGCGCTGGGGCCCTCAGGTTCCCTGAGAAGGGATCCGAGGGTGTGGGTCTGTCCGGCACTGAAGGGCAGGGGTGTGCACCGGGGGCTGGAGGAGGCAGGCTGGCCCCTTCTTCAGGCTGCTTGGGGAGGCTGGCCATGCTGAGGGGCAGCAGCAGTCCCTGCTCTCCTCCCCCACCTCCTCATCAGCGACCGTGGCACTGCCCGCTCCGCATCCATGAAGGCAGCAGGCCCCAGAGGCCCAGAGAGAGGAAGATCACAGGGCGGCTGAATCTGAACCCAGGTCTTCTGACTCTCAGCCTTCCCCAGCCAAGCTGCAGGTCCAGCAGTCACGGCTGGGAGGGCACGAGGTGGCCACAGGCACCATGGAAGCCCTGGAAGGATCAGGGCCCTAGAGCTGGAAGGCCCTCAGAGGCCCCTCAGACTTGGTAAACTGAGGCATAGGGAGGATAAGTTACTTAGGATCATGGCCCTAGACCTGGAAGCCCTCAGAGGTCCCTTAGATTGACTCCCTCATTTTACAGACCTGTAAACTGAGGCACAAGGAGACAAAGTGACCTGGGATTGTGAGCCTGGTCTTGGAAGGGACTTCAGAGACCCCTCAGATTGAGCCCCTCCTTTTATGGACCTGTAAACTGAGGCACAGGGAGAAAAAGTGATCTGGAATCATGATCCTAGAGCTAGAAGAACTTCAGAGGCCCCTCAGACTGACCTCCTCGGTAAACTGAGGCACAGGGAGGCTAAGTGACCTGGACCTGGAAGGGCCTTCAGAGGCCCCTCGGACTGACCCCCTCCTTTTACAGACCTGTAAACTGAGGCACAAGAAGACAAAGTGACCTGGGATTGTGAGCCTGGACCTGGAAGGCCCTCGGAGGCCCTTCGGTCTGACCCCCTCCTTTTACAGACCAGTAAACTGAGGCACAGGGCGGCTGAGTGACTGAGGGTCACGGTCCTAGAGCTGGAAGGCCCTCGGCCTGACCCCGCACTGCACAGACTGGTAAGCCCCGGCCCGGGTCCAGGCGCTAACCCTCCCTGCGCTGTGCGCCCCGGGCCGGTGTCTTGCCCTCTCTGGTCGCGCACTCACCATCTCGATGATCTTGGTCTTCCTGCCCGTCCTCTTCTTGGCCGTGAGCAGGTACTGTGCCAGCACCAGTCCGGCCACCAGCGCGCACACGCTGGCACTCGCCACGGCGCCCACCCGTGCCACGGCCGCCCGGTCCATCGCGGGCCACCCGGCCACAACCCAGAGCCACCTTCGGGAGGAAGAGAGGAAACCGCGCCCCTCCCCCGCCCGCACGCGCGGAGCTCCGCGGCCCCGCCCCCCCGAGCCCAGGCCCCGCCTCCCGGAGCCCAGGGCCCCGCCTCCCGGGGCCCAAGCCCTGCTTTCTACAGCCCCAGGCCACGCCTCCTACAGCTCAGGCCACGCCTCCTGCAGCCTAGGCCCCCCTCTTCCTACAGCCCAGGTCCTCCTCCCAGGGTCCGGGCCCCGCCTCCCACAGCCCAAGGTCCTCCCCCTCCCCTGGCCGGGCTGGGAGCATAAGGAGAGAGCGCGGCGCTGTTGGGCAACACGTGTACGCGGCCTGTGCCATTGAGGAGGGACGCTAGAGGGGGGATCAGAGAACGGCGTCGCTTTCCTCTGTCTCTACTACATTGCCGGACACCCCCCTCTCCTTGGCAAAATGGTATAGTCCAGAACATCCTTCGTCCCTTTTGAGAATGACAGCTCCCTGCTCTCCCATGGACCAATCGAAACGTCCCTTTTCCTCTGTCCCGCCCTCCCCTCACGGGACTACGACTCCCACGAGCCTCCGCGCCACCGCCTCTCATCCGGAGCCGCGGGGTTCGTTGTAAAGTGCTATGACAACCGGGGCGAAGATGGCAGTGGGTCCCGGAGAGGGAGTTCCGCCGCCGCCCCGCCGCCGGCGCCCCCTGGGCCCCGTGAGCCGGCCCGCCTCCGCTCTGTGAGCCGACTCCCGCTGCTCCCCAGGCCCCTGCCCGTTGCCTTTCCGCTCCTGTGTCCGGCGCCGCCGCCTGTGGCTGCTGCAGCCCGGGCCTCTCCGCCCGGTGAGTACGGGGGCCCGCCCGCAGGTACGCACGTGTGCCAGGCGGGGGTCCTCGAGACGGGAGTGCGGGCCGCAGGTGAGCTTCCCCGGGCGCGTGTGCGCGTGCGCGCCCACTCTCGGTGCACCTGGTACGGGGGAAGTGTCACCTGTTGCGTGAGCATCGTCCCTGCCCCTCCCTCCGCAGTTCACAGAGGTCACCCAGGCTTTGCACTTGGCCGCGGGAACTGACCCCAAACTTGTAAAAGCCGGGTGACTTTAAAGGAAGTTGCTTCCCGAATCAGCTCGGGCAGGAGCGTCCTTGCTTTGCTTCCTCCCTACCTTGCAGGCCAGGTGCACTCTCAGAGCTTCTTTCTGTCCGCACCTGCCGAGCCCTGCGACTGACACCTGGCGAGCATCTCCTAAAGGGGGTCATTTCCCGCAGGACCCGGCCACCTCCCCCACCTTTTTTTTTTTTTTTGAACAAACATAAGTATTTTGAGCTTCTGGGCAGAGGTGATGGCTCAGAGCTAAAGTGGAAGACTTTTACAAGCGTGTGGTAGAGTGAGAGGGATGGGCCGCTTCTTAGAGGAAATCCCTCTTTCCCTCCCAAATGTACTGATCTAATGCTAGAAGGTGTTCTTAAGAGGATGATAACTTTAAAAATAATTGTCTGTGGCAGACAATTCTTCTTTAAACAAATCTCCTTTGCCTAAGCCAATGAGATTATCACTTGCTTAAAATGTGTGTAGCACCAATGGATTGGAAATAAGAAACTTAGAGAATGAAGGAGCAAAACTGTTAATTTTGAAAACGATATGGTGACATCGTAGGATCATAGATTTAGAGCTTAGAGACTATTGTGACCAACCCCCCCCCCCTTATTTCTGAGATGAGGGACAGAGGGTGCAATGACTTGTCCTTGGTCACCCAGCTGGTGAGTGAGCAGGGATGTGAATCTATGTTCATCACTGGCCACTACACCTGAGATACAAAACTTCTTGTGGGGCCTCTTTTTGGGCTCTTTGGGGTAAAGGCTCAGTAATGGTATCACTGGGTCAAAAGGTACGCACAGTGTAGTGACTTTTAGGGCGTAGTACCAAATTGTTTTACGTAACACCTGGATGTTCACAGCTCCACCAGTAATGCATCAGTGTGCCTGTTTTCCCACTGTCCTCTCCAGCTTTTGTCACTTTCCTTTTTGTCCACTTTGCTAATCTGATAGATATGAGGTGGAACTTTAGAGATCCTTTAATTTGCATTTCTATAATTGTTGAGTAATTTGGAACCTTTTTTCACATGCCTATTGATAGCTTGGATTTCTTCCTTAGAAAATTGCTTGCTCAAAGGGCAGCTAGGTCGAGTAGTGGATAGAGCCCCCCGCCCTGGAATCAGGAAGAACTGAGTTCAAATCTGGCTTCAGACACTTACTAGCTATGTGACCCTAGGCAAATCAGTTAACCCCATTGCCTCCAAAACCCATAACAAATAGAAAAAGAAAATTGCTTATTCAGATCCTTTGACGACTTTATTCCTTGGAGAAGATAGATGCCTTTTCTAATAATTTCCCTTATTGACATATATATGTATCTGTATATATATATATATACACACATACACATATATACACATACATGCATATGTTATGTATGTGTGTATATATTTGGACACAGAAATGGGTAGAGTTGGGGAATGTTTGAGTGCATCAGGGAGGAGAAAGATGTGAACTGAAGAAGAAGGAAAGGCACATGCTGTGAGCTGGGAGGGCCTCAGTGGTCATTTGAACCGGCCCACGCCTTCCTAGGATCTCCTCTTCTACATCCCCATGTACCAAGGAAACAGATGGCGTGTTGGGCATCAAACAGCCTTTCTGTGATTCATAAACTGACCGTGCGTCAGACATGAGGGGTCGCTGCTGGTGGGCCTGAGCCTCACTTAGTCTCCTTGCCATTGTATCCCCCCCAGACATTGGCTTGGATGGATGCCTGGACCAGACTGTGTGCACGGTGATAGACTCTTCCTTTCCTGTGAGACCTCAGAAAATACAAAAGCATTACAGGGGTCTACTTAGGACCTGGGTTTTTTTTTTTTTTTCTTAAAGACCATTTACTTATTTTTAAAAAACAATCTAAAATGCATACTTTTTGTTTTAAATCACTGTCATTTCTGAAGAGAATCTTTTCCCTTTCTGTGCCAGAGAGCCATCTCTTTTAAAAGAATAAAAAAAGAGAGAGGAAAAAATAATTCAGCAAAACTAATCAATACATCCGTGGAGTCTGATGGCATATGTACTATTCTGTTCCCATAGTCTACCACCTCTGCAAAGAATAGAGGATGTATAAAGATCTCTTCTGTGGGGCTGAGGTTGGTCCTCATAATTACCAACATTTTGGGCTTTTATTTGTTCTTTTGTAAACACACCACCACCTCCCCATGGCTTTTCTTTGCCACAAGTAGACTAACTCATTAATTCTTTAAAGTATTCTATTTGATTTCAAAAACTTGGCTAGTGGGACTTCCCAGCTGTCAGTGATGTCACTGCCATGTTACATAAAACTCCCAAACTCTTCTCTCATTTTTACGACTCTCCTACAGCTCCACCAGTAGAAGAGGAGGAGAAGGAGAGGGTTTGGAAGCTGTCCAGGATGAGAGAGGCTGAGTGAAATTTGTTAGAAAAGGAAAATGGGTGAGACCAGGGCAAGGAAGCTGGGTGTGCCTCTGAAGAGGTGCAAGATTTGAAGGGGAAAATGCCCCTGGGGGATTCAAAGCTCCCTCACCCCCGGCTGCCATCATAGCACTTCTCAAGATTCATTGGCTGTAAGAACTACAGGCAATAAACTGTGTAATGGCTGTCTTCCAGACGTGGCCTGATTAGAGTGGTATCTCCAAGAAGGGAAGGCAGAAGGGCTTGGGGGATACCTCTCTGTGCTCCTGGTTATCAGGGAGGATGAAGTATTCCTTTAAAAAACAGGAGAAGGGCTTGAATGTAAAAGCACAGGAGAAAAAGGAGCTGAAAAGGCTGAGGTGACTTGAGTCAGAGGCTGGAGGTGAAAGAAGACGTCCCTGACCCTTGAGGCTGAGGAACAGAGAATGAGGCTCCTGTCTGGGAGGAGGGGGCTGGGTCCTCTGAGGAGGAAGGACAAGGGGCTTCTGGGAGGTGAGAGATAACGCACGCAGCAAACCTCTGAGCAAGAAGGGGCAGGTTGTGGTCGGTTGGTGCCTCTGCTGAGGGCTACTGAGGCAGCCTTGGGTCATTAAATTCAGGGAGCTCCCTGTTACCTCCAGGATCCAATAGAAAACCCCATGTTTGGCGTTCAAGGCTTTTTCTCATCTGCCAGAAGCAGAGCAGTTCATGATGTCTTCCCTTGCCTTAATGATAAGTTCAGTCTACGCAAAAAGGGGCACCCTATGCAGGGGAGCGCAGCTCTGGAGTTGATTTTGGCCAAAAAAGAAGGATCAGTCACTGGGTATAAATGATGGGAACTTTGTGGGGAAAATTTTCATTCAACCTTAGGACTTGTGGAAGAAGGCTGCACATAACCTGATGTGCAGCCGGGTCTTGGAAGGATCAGAGAAATGATAGGGAGGACCCATGGACTGAAATTTGGGGAGGAAGTTAGGAAGAGAGACAGGGATTGTAAGCGTGATTTCGTTGCTATTAGCAAGTGAGGGGGCCCGGCAGATAGGGTGTGGCCTGGAGTCAGGAAGACCTGGGTTCATATCTGGCCTCAGACACTTACTAGTTCTGTGATCCTGGGCAAGCACTTCACCTCTGCTTGCCTCAGTTTCCTCCTCTGTGAAATGGGGATAATAACAGGACCTCCCCACCAGGGTTGTAAAGACCAAATGAGATAATATTTGTAAAGTGCTTCGCACAGTGCCTGGCACATAGTAGGTGCCATGTAAATATTAGCTGTCATTGCTATTAGGTTGCCCCACATGAATGGGAAGCACTGTCTTCTTACCTCTGTCTTATATGTGACTTTTCCTCTTCAAATCCCGGCTTAACCTCCACCTTCGACATGAAGCTCGGCCTGCTCTCCCAAGTACCAGTGACCTCCATCCAAAATGGCGTTGGCTTTAACGGAGCTGTATCTGTTCTTTTTACAGTGGTTCTCTGTCTTCTTGTGTGGGTGCATGGCGGGTGACCCCAGTCATTTGTGTGAGATTCTCCTAAGTGGTGGCTGCCCGTGGAAGGAAGAGACCTTGACCTCCAATTTGCCTCCCCTGGGTGAAGGAGGGCTCTCTCTCTCCCTCCCTCTCTGTTGGTCTGAGGTCTGACGTCTCTGCTGTATCTGAGTCTACCTGACGGCTCCAATTTCTGCTCGCTTTTTGCTTGGATAAGTGGGTTTACTTGCTCATCACTATTTGTTGTGGCCTTTTGTTTACCTAGCATTTGGTGGGAAAGAGTTAAAACTGTGGGAACAAAGTTGGGGTGACTTTCCTCCCTTAAGAGCCATGAGGGAAGTGACTTTTTGTTTTGAACCACAGTTGCCCCCTGGATCAGGGGTGGTTAAATCAAACCCCTGGGGGGCTGAGACAAGAATGGTTTTAACATTTTAAAATAAAGGGTTTTTTTGGAAGGGTATTAAAAGCGTAAAAATTATTCTTCGCTTGAGGGCCGTATGACAAGTGGAGAGCCAGCTTCTGCCCTAGACCATCAGTGTTCAGTTGGGCAGATCTAGAACTCTGGAATTTGCTGACCCCTACTAGGCCTTGCACTCTCAGGTTTGTATTGGTTTTCAATACATTGAATAAAGAAAGAGATCATGTGCTTACTCAATTTTCAACTTACACAAAGCTGGGGCGGGAGGGATAGCTAACAGAATGGATTCAGGGTCCAGAAAGATACTGACAGTGTAGAATGTTGGTCCCAAGATGAGATTGAATAACAAAATTGGGTCCAGGTCACTGTGGCTGCATTTTCAGGGGACAGCGGTAGTACTGGGGCCCTCTCCCTTCCTCACCTTTCCTCAGAGGGCCTTGACATCATCAGGCCAGAGCAGGCCCCTGGGCCGCCTTGAG